CTAGCCTCGAGGGCATGCCCCCGCGGGAGCAGCCCGTTCTGTTGGAGGTTTGCACGGTGTTACGTGCGAAAACTGGTCGGGCTCTCCGCAAGCTGAGCTTCTTAGCTTGGGTTCCGCCCCGAAACAACAGAGGGTAAAAAGGACTCCGTACAGTAAGCTAACAAGTTCTGCTCACGCCTCGCTGCTCACCACTTCTCTGCAGGTGTTCTGCTGAGGGGCGATTTGCGCTGCCCCGGTGACGTGTGGGGCTGTGGGCTGCAGCGGCGGAGCCGCTTGGCTACAAGAGCGGGCTTCGTATTCTAAGGCAGGGTTATTGCCAGTAGGCTGAACTCAGAATGCATGGCTGGGCCGCGCTCTGTGTGTAGACTGGAGGATGGCCTCGCCCCGTACAGGCTACAACAGACTAACCAAGGCATGGTCCAACAAGCTATTCAGATGAGTGACGGGCTGTGAAGCTCAGCTCCCCGATAAGAGTCGAAGTGCAGGAAAGCATAAGGTGTAATGTGAAGCTCCCTAACGATTCGAGTACCGGGCCCCTGCAGTCACTTCGACGTGTGGGTTCCACTGCCCCGCAAAGAAAGAAACAAGCTCGTTCTCGACTATAGTGCAGAACACAGTACGCAGGGCCATGCTATGATTTCTAGTTTCTAGTTGCTCCGATTCGCCGCGGCTTAAACCAAAAAACAGAGGTTCTCGACTACGATGCAAATCACAGTGCGTAGGGCCCTGCTACGGCTCTTAGCTGCTCCGATCCGCCCCGCCAAGACGAAAACACAGGTGCTCTCGGATACAGTATGAACCATAGTACGCAGGGCACGTCTTCGGAGTCTAGTCACTCTTACCCGGTGAACTATATGGGTTGGGCGGCCAGTGGGGCTCGAAGTCACGCGTCTGCGGCTCACCGGGACCTGGTACTCTTCCATGGCCTCGCCCTCCGCCTCCTCTCTCTCTGCCCCGGCCTCGTCTGCAGCTGTAGGCTTCGCTTCGCTTCCCAGGAGAAGAATCCACAAGTGTGGACCCGCGCCCCCTTCCCCGACTCGGCGGTGAAAGAGGCGTTGGGATCAGCAGAGGTAGGAACCTTTCCCCACACGTTCGGCTTAGCTGGTAGCGTGTGACTTGTGGGGACCCAACCCTCCCTGTACTTTGGCCTGCGTGCTCACTACAGCACATTACTTCATCCCTCGCCCGGCAGTCCCCCTGCAGGAACAACGGTTGGATACAGTGGTTCCCCCGCCTTTTCAAGGTGAACCAACAACTGAAACACAAGACGCGCATGTCACAAGGAAAGGCGGGTTCCCCAGCAAGTCAACAACCTTAGCTTTGTAGACAAAACAGCGGAATTATGCCCCCAGTCAAGAGCGTATCGAATTGGCAACAGGATCCCTACCAAGCATACAGTACTGAGTGTTTGGTGTTTGTGCAGCAAAAAAGGGGTCGAAGTGGCACCTCAAACGAGTGTCGTGGTTTTGGCTCTGCGGGCCGTCCAGTCATGCCTGGCTTTTGCAAGCCTGACTGAAGACTGCAAAGCGGAGTTGAGCCAACAGCTTCCCCGAGGAAGCACACTGTAACTTGCAGCAAATTTTCTTCCCTCAGCACTCATTTGACCAGCAGGACTGGACCTTGTCGAATCACTCTGCTTTCTTGCCATGTGCGCTTGCACTTGGCGCACTTGCCAGATGAGGTTGCGAACCAGGTCCTCTCCCCCCTCGTCTCTTGTTCCCGTGGTGGGCTCTCCTCGGTGGTTCCTCGTCGGGTTCTCTGGGCGTCTCCGTGGCTGTGCTCGGCCTCGCGCTTCTCGTTGGCGGCCTCTCGTGGGCTCATTGGGTTTCTCTGTCAACCGTCCAGTAGCGCCATCTCTGTCCGATGGCCTCCCGCCTGGACCCCACGGCCACTGGTCGAGCTGGGCACCATTCTCCGTCGAGAAGGCAGTTGGGCTCGAACTCTGTTTCCCCCCGGACAGGAGAGCTAGAGATGAAGACCTTGCAGTAAAGGTCGCGGGAACCGTTGTAAAGCTGCAAACTTGCCCGTCTCGAATATTGTTCTGGCCCTCCCTGGGCTCGCGTTGCTTTGACGGAGGATTCAGGGGATAGAAGTTCTCAGAAGCAGAGTCAGGGAACCTTCACCCTACAGCCCCCCTCTGAGCTGGCGTTCAGCGGATCGTCTTCGGAGACACTGTAGGCACCTTGAGCCAAAATCGTTCTCTCTTTCTTTCTCCAGGCTTAAGGGCATGCCGGCGCGGGAGCAGCCCGTTCTATTGGACGTTTGCACGGTTTTACGCGCGACTAGGGTTCAGGCTCTCCACGGGCTGAGCGTAGGTTAGGTTAACAACTGCTAGTTGCCGTGCTGTTAGTTATTGCTCATGCCCCGTCGCTGCCGGCAACACTCGGTGGTTGTTCCACTAGGGAGTTCGCCACTCTCTCTCTCTCTCTTCCGGGCTTGGGGATCACGGCAGCGTCCAGGCCGATCACCCCGTGCGCGCGCACACCCGCTTCTCGCGGGAGGTCTAACTCCACCAAAGGTTTTTCCTCTGGGGGCTCGGCTGTACTGCGACGACTTGGGTTCCCCACACTGCTCCCCCGTGGTACACGCAAGACTGAAGGGGGCTTTTGAGCAGTGTGGTTCCCCCCCGGTGTCAAGTGTTTACAGGGCTAAGCTGCGAGCCAGGAGTCCCCCACACATTGGCATGAGTGGAGCGACTGTGACAAAGCGGGTTCCCCCTGTTGGCAGTTGTACTCTGGAAAGCGGTTACCCTACTTACCGAACAGAAATATCGCACATGAAAACGTTCATCCCCCGTACGACTGCCATGGTTCACTCGCAAACGCTCTGAGGCCCGGACCAAAGGACTGGACGACAGTGCAGACTGGAACATGCTAGTAGCGTTCCCCCTTTTGGTTTTCAAGAAGGAAGCATCTGCTCGACTAGGGTGCCAGGCGTTCAAGGTGCACAGCAGCTCTAGACCGGATCCCAGCGAGTAGGTAATCCCCCCCTAGTAAGGACCATGCCGACCGTAGTGTGCCCCTTGAAGTCGCCTACGCCTATGGCTTCCCCCGTCGTCATCATCCCTTGTCGGGGAGGTCCGGGATCGTGCCCCCGGGCTCCAGTGCCACAAAGGTCGTCGCTCCCCCCGGCGCAGTCGGCTCCGAAGGACTTTCCGTATCATAGGCTTGGGTCGGTAGGTCCCCTGCTTCATTGATGTCGGCGACCAGGCTCTCTGTGAGTACATGCTCTGGTGGCCCAGTCGCCCCGCCGAACAAGGAGAAGCGTTGTAGGGGTATTCTTCCCCCGGCTCTGTTGTCTGTCGCCTCTGCTGCGCTGTGTTCGGCCGCCCCGTTGTCCCCTCCTGGATCGAGCCTAGGTTGTCGTCCGTCACAGGCAGGCCTCCTTCTTCAGTCCCCTCCGTCGTTTGCGTGCCGTCGTGAACTGCGATGTGTCCCCCGAATAAGGACTGTTGCCATGTGTCGATGCTCTGCAGTAGGTGCACAGCGATGGGCACTTGTTCTCCCACCAGAGTGGGTACCATGGCTCGGAACTCCATGGCTGCTTCTCGCAGTAGTGTAGTCGCCCCCATGTTGGTGAGAGTCCTGGCCGTTGCTTCCTGTGCTCCTTGTAGAGCGATGGCATCAGCTGGGTGGGCCATCGGTTCATGGCTGCTCGTCGCTCCGGCATTCCCCCTCTGTGCTTCAGGCCGCACTGAAAGAAAGCCGTCCCCCCTGAGCTCGAGGTAGGTGGCCCCTGCTTGCAGCAAGCTCCACAGCTCCTCCCAGTAGCCCAGCGTATTCCAGGCCAGGTTCCCGTTGAAGGCGGAGTCGCGGGCCGAGCGGAGTAGGTCCCCTGCCCGTTGCACTTGCCTGGCTGCCATCTGAACGTCATCGCATGTGATGCCTTTGGGCATCGGCTGGTGGAGCTGCACCCCTCCGGTTTCTACCATCAAGAGGATCTGCGCTAGGTCCTCGCCGTACTCCCCTGCGCTCAAAGAGCTCCCCCGCGAAATGCGGAAGCGCTGGATCTGGCGGAGAGCTTCTGCAAGGGCGCTGGGCTCAGCGAGAGCTCGTCTCATCCCCCGCGTGCTGGGCGGGTCTGCGGCTAAGGCGGCAGGACAGTATGGGTTGGCCGTGATCACCAGCTGCATGGCCACATCATCCCCCCTCCTATCCCCTTAGCCGGCCCGCCGACTAGGCAATACATTACGGGAGGTTTATTAATGTATTGGACCAGCCTCCGGGTATGTGTCAGGGGTCTGAAGGTCCACGACAAATGGGAGTTTGTTCAAGCTTCCCGTGTCTCTCTCAAAACGTCTCTCTGACTCCTGCTGCAGCTACTTGCACAAGCTCCGCACTGCGAGGTTTTTTTTTCTGCCTGGCAACCCCCCGCCAGTCGGTTCAGGTCGACATCATGCGAGCCGGAAATGCGCCATCTCTGGAGTCGAAGTGTTTCTGGAGTTAGTGGGTTGAGGTGGGCTCACAGGATAATCACGTTTTTTAGCATGCATTTGCCACTGCAGCCCTGAGAACCCTCATGCCCCTAACCCCAACCACTCCTGAGGCCGAAACCCCTAAACCCAAAGCGCGGAAAAAAACACAACAGTGGAAGAGCACCCTGCACACCCTAAAACCGAAAATCAGCGAGATCTAAACCATACACAGAAATCTACTGTCCAGGGTTTGTGGGTGCGAAGTGCTCTGAGCTGAAGCTGCTTTCACGCGATGGGCAATGCCGGCACCACACGATCTACTGCCGCCAGGAAGGCAAGGAACCCATCCTGCCCGGAGATCACTGTAGGAGCGATCGCCCGGAAGCGGCTGCAAACTTTCCTACTGAACTCTTTGCTGCTGATGCCCTTGCTGGCACCAGGACCGGCGATCTCACTATGAAGCAGCGTCACAGAAAAGTATGCCGGCGTCCGCTCAAGCAAGGATTTCCACGTCGGCCTGGAGTGGCTCAGGGATGTTGAGGCTCCAAAGATGTTGAGGGCTAGGGGTTGGACGGAGACCTAGGTTTCAGTAACGAGGCCTTGTCTTGCTTGGCCACACCCGGACACAGCCGTCTTGTGTGCAGAGAGGCTTTCCAGCAGCTTGGGCATACAGCTTCCGCATGACGTCCATGTAGAGGCGGATGTTGGTGAAGCCCTTCTCGTTGTTGCTGAAGGAAGTCTCGCAGAAGCACGGCTTGTCTGTCTCCACCGTGCTCAGGTCCCGGATGGACTGCATGCCTGTGTGAGCCGCATCGGACACCTGCAGCAGCAAAGCGGCAGAAGTGGTTCGGATTCCATACCACCCCTCTGCGATCTCCATCAAGAGCCTCGGGCCATCATCACGATCCTCGTGCGGGTCCATCGTCAGCGACGGGCTCAGGCATGTAGCACGGTAGACGTTCGGTGACTCAGCGCCCAAAGCCTGGGGCAGCACAAGCTGCAGACCAACACACTGGTCACAAGGCAAGCCTTGTTCGTGCGGCTTGCTTCCCGCTCTCTTCTTCTTCCCGACACTGCCTCGGAAGACCCTGCAGACAATGGCAGGCCGGTTGCAGCCGAGGGGATGCAAGCGAATCACGACAACCTGGTAGCGTCTGTTCATGGCTTCGTCCAAGATGTTGCTCGGACGAAAAACGTCCGGCGCCTTCACGATGATGTCGCCTTTCGCTGTGCCTGCCCATGCCGCTGCAGAGTCTTGCGCCTGGGCAGCAACTAGCCGTGCAAACCCCCACCAGCTGGCGGCTCTGCCTTGTCTTGCACCCTGCAGCCCGTATGACCGTTGGGCCTCGGAAAGATTCTTCTGGAGCTCATTCCATTTTGATAAAGGCTTCTTGGGCTCCTCCACTTGTCCGGGGCGGAGGAACCCTTCGCCCAATCTCATTTGGACGATGAAGCGGAGCATCTCCGGAAGGAGCTTGTGCACCCGCATCAACATAGCATGCTCCGAATCCTCCTTGATGGCCGCATACCGGCTGAAGCCACTGAGCTGCAAGATGCTGTGCAACGTCATGGGCTGTGCCGCCGCAGCTGTGTCCGATGCCTGTGCGGAGGCATCTGTCGCTGCAGCCGCCGCAGTTGCATCCGATGCCGCCGTGGCGGCACCCGCCGCTGCAGCTGCATCCTGGGCTTCCATGTTGGAGATCTCTGCCTGGGCATTCGCCTCCAACTCTAAGCAGGATAGCGTCTGGGAGACTTCGATGTTGGAGTCGAGTTGCGGGTCCGCCGGGTCCACAATGACATCCTCGGCATCGGAGTGGTCTTCCTCGCCCAGGAGCTCCTGTAGGTTCAACTGATGAGGGCAACTCCTTGTCCAAACCACAAACCAAAATGCCAAACCCTAAGCATCCCTGATCTATCAACCCTCCTCTTCGTTCTCTCTGGACCGCAGGCGCTCAGTGACCAGCTGCTTCCCGATCGCCTCCCACCAGTTCTGGAGTGAGGCTGCGCAATCGGCAGCATCACGTCCTACGGATGTGACGGCCTTGTACATGCACACGGTGTCGAATGCCTTCCTGCCTGCCTCGGTGGCTTCGGAGTCACTCAGGCCTTGCCATGCAAGGAGCTTCTTTGGATCCGACTTCTCCAAGCATCGCTTCTGTTGCATGTGCAGCCTCTGAGTGGAGACGATGGCACTCCGGATCGTTGGAAGGCCATAGCGGATGTTGGATTTCACTCGACCGAAGTGGTGTTCAGAAGCATCTTCCATGCAAGCCGAAGGCCGGAAGGGTACGCCTGAAGGCCATCGAACTACTCTCTCGACGAGGTGACCGGTGATGGCCAGCAAGTTGCCGACCGTGATCGGATGGAAGTATCGCGATCCATGGCCTCCGGTTTCCATCAGGTCGAACAGCAGCATGTAGTACCCCTCAAGGGCACATTCCAGCAGGTCGCGGGGATCTGTGAACATGTGCGAGCTCAACCAGCTGCCGCAGCACAGTCCCACCAGGTACATAAAGACAACGAGGCCCATGGAGTCCCATTGCGAGGTGTCGACGAGTTGCGGGTTCAGCAACCAGGAGCTTTGGCTGTCGGACTGGTTGTCCGTACCCCGCCAAGCTGAGGCTGGCAAGCCTCGGGTCAGCATCAGCTGCGGCCACACCTTCAACCGACCCACCTCCAAGACACGTGTCTTCACCCTCATGGCCCTCGTCAAGCATTTCTGGGTGTGGGCTGCATCGTTGTGGGAGAACATGCAGCGCTTGCCCTGGTAGGCCATGGATGCAAACTTGTAGCACGGGAGGGTGAACGACCGTGGGTCAAGAACACACTCTCGGAAGAAGGCAACGTCCTTGAAGCAGTCCTTTGGCATCAACCCTAGGAAGAAGCTGTTCATGTGGCCATGCGATGCATGGTTGTCGTATGCACAGCATATCGGAGGAACCTTGGCAGCATCGGTGACGGCTTGTAGCACCAGGCCTGTTTGCGCCATGACCGTGTCCCGGTTGACATCTGCGAGTCGCTTGGGCTGGAAGCAGATATCATACGGCTGTTTTCTCGTGCTTGCACGTTTCAACAGGTAGCTCACGCACTGCTGTGCCAACTCCTCCTTTTTCAGGAGGCCGGGCCGAACTTCGCTGCTGTGCAATTTGGCCTGCTGGCCTGTGCCTCCCACGTAGTACATTCCGTCCTCGAAAGCCTGCAAAGACCATTGTGGCCAAAACGTTGTATCATCCCAGCAGACCATAAAATCACGTGTGGAGGAGCACTGGAGGATGTGCAAGACGGCATCGGCGTTGGCCTGGAGTTCGGAGGCCGTCGGACAGAAAAACCTTGGTAAGCCCGATCGCCATATGCTGCTCGCCGGCAGCTTCGGCGACGTGAAGCCGAACATGTTGAGGAGTGACTCTTGGTTGGTGCATGCCGACAGTGCGGAGCCTAGTTCAACAATGCGGCTTTCCTCCACATTGGGCAAGCTGCTGGCATGGATCCTCTTCTTGCCCGACTTCATGCACTTTGACTTATGCACAATCCCGCAGATCATCGTTCTGGCCACCTCGTTTCCTTGCAACACGCCGTCCAGAATCTGCTGCGCGAGGCTCCCATCGGCTGCAGATACCTTTCTGGCCTCCAGGAGGGTGTCCACATGAGCGAGGATCTGCCGGTCCTGGGCATCCTGTTTGTACAGGTTCCTAGGCAACCATGCGATGTTCGTTGTGATGAATCTCTTCATGGCTGCGTTCCTGGACTGAGATGAAATCTTAAGTTAAGGTTAGGTCCGAAGTACGGTCCGAAGTACCTCAAGAACCGTGGACAACCCGAAACGGTATGCTGCTCCGGAGGCTTAGCGTCTGAATCACCAGGGGGATCCGGTTGAAGAGCTCCTTCAGGCGGTCGCAGATGACAGGGTAGTCCGCCTCGATCAGTTCGTTCATGGCCACGGGGTGGTGCATCTGCCAGTCTGCTTGACACATCCGCTCAAGAACCTCGGCTCGAAGGATGGAGTCCTGGAGAAACGTCGCCTGGACCAGCTGTGCGAGCTCGATCCTGTAGCTCCAACCACAGACCCTTTTGCACCACTCCTCCGAGGAGCACAAGGCCTTGCATGAGGCACAGAAGGGTAGCTGCTGGGTGACAAGTCTGGGCGTCGCATCCTCAGCACACTTCTTGGACCGGACCACGATGCCACCGTCGTCCCGAAGAACACACTCGGCCTGGTACTGAGCGAAGTGCCAAGGCCCACCGTGGGCAGCCCAAAGGGCGATGGACTTCTCGATCTCGTGGGCTCGGGTCCGGTGTGTAAGGCGTGTTGCACCCAAGTCCATGCCGGAACAGGGGGTTCGAGGCCGATCCAATGCGGCCTCGTGGTGGGTGGCCTGTGCCTCATGTTGAAGTACAAAGAACACGGTGCTGCGCCGCACCGCACTGAATGTCTGGTTGCAGACCCTGCACTTCAGGTGCAATTTGACGGTGTTGAGGTTCTCATAGAGGCCCTTCCGTCGTTCCTCGAGCCACAGGAAGAGGTCTTCCGTCAGGTGAACCTCGCGATGCTTGGGCTTGCGGCCTTTCTTGACAACCTCCTGAAGCCCTTCTTCGCGCTTCAGATCAGCCAGGCGAGCCAGGAAAGCAGCATGTGAGGCACATGCTGAGCCTGAAGTCTTTGCAACAACACAAGCATCCGAGTCCTTGGGAGGAACCGTCTCTTGGCACTCTTCGGCAATCGACTCTGCATCCTGTAGAGCAGGGGCTTCAGAAGAAGCTTCGGCCTTCACTGCATGCTGTACGACAGGAGGTTCAAGAGAAGCTGAGGCCTTGCTTACCTTGCACAGCAAAGCTTCGCACTGCTTGCAGGAGATGTGGACCTCAACTCCAGCGACCGCCCTGAGGAACTCCTGCCAATGTCCGGGCCCCACCTTGTTTTTGTGCAGTGGAGCGAAGTCCTTGTGGTAGGAGATTTCCACGGCAAAACAGAGCCGCTTTCCTTCTGCGACCTCAGTCTTCCACTGCCTCTGACTCTTCCTGCTCGTCTTCTTCTTCACCGGCTCGTGGTCCATATCGGGCTCGTCGTCGTCGTAAACCAGCATTGCCTGAGAGCTGGCACCGGGACCTTGCTCCGACATCACACTGCCGGGTGCATGCTGCATCGCCGGCTTCTGCCTCGGCTCCAACGTCCTTGTCGGTCTTGAGGGCTGCCCGCTTGGCCGAGTTTGATGTCTTCTCTGGGCTGCTGTCCGGTGCACGGCCCCGCTTCCTCGGTGGTGTCTGATCCCGGTCCACTTTGATGGGCCCCGCACGTTGGACTTGCTTGAAGAGCTCCACACCGACCATCGAGGACGGTGCGATCTCGGGCTTCACTGGAGCTGACCGGTAATTCAGCTTGCACCCGCGAGACACATCCTCCAAGTCTGGGGCAGCACAGCATGGAAACTTGCACTCGCACCGGAATGCCCACACATGGGAAGCTGCATCCGCTCGATACAAGTCCTGGCAGCAGAGATGGCGAAGCAGCTCGTCGGGTGTCTTGAAGAGCAGACTTGCGGACTGCTCCAGATCATGTAGATTGCAGCAATGGCTGTCATAGTGCAGACTGGAGCAAGCAGAGTGCGAGCAGCTGAGCACCGTGGATGCTTTCTCATTGCAGATCAAGACAAAGGCGAACATGCTGCCGGGGTGCCGGCACTTGTAGTCTTCGATCTTGACAAGTGCAGCTTCCAAGGCAATGCCTAAACAAACCTCATCCATCTGGCAGTCCTCGAACAGCGGCCTCAGATCATTGAAGATGTAGTCACCAGCAAAAAGGCCGTCACAAAGCTGCTGCCGCACTTCCGGTGGCACGGCATACTGGTCTGTTGGACGCCACTCTGCTCCCATCATCTGCTGCATCTGCAAGTCCGCAAGCTTGTTGTAGTGCTCCGACCACACGGCTGCCTGCCGCAGCATTGTCCGCACCGCGGCGTCGCCTTGCTGCCCGACCCACTGTCGCAGGAAATCCTGGGCCAGCCGGGAATGTATTGGACCAGCCCCCTGGCTCAATACAATACACATGCCCCGGACAGCCCCGAACCATCCCAAACCCAGGCTACGAAAGATTACGGGAAATTCTAGAATACGGATATACACGGATGCTGGGACACCGAAGACTCCTGCGGGAACCAGCAGGGCAGCCGGTAATGTATTAGACCAGCCCCCTGGCTCAATACAATACACAAGCTGCTAGCATCTGCTAGCCAATATTAGCCAATGCTACAGGGGCACCGAGGGCTTCGAAGACTCCCGCAGGAAGCAGCGGGACAAGGACAAGCAGACCCAGATACAGGACCTTGTATGGTCTTTGCCATCACGTGCAAGCTCTTCAGCATTCTGGTTGAGGTCATGCCAGTACACCAAGGGCAGCCGGACCTCCGGGGTTACAGTAATGTATTGGACCAGGGCCCTGGCGCAATACAATACCCAGGCTAGGAGCATCTGGGTGTTAGGTGATACATACATGTCGCGAGACCACGAGCCTACGCCCGAGAAACCCCAGCACAGCCCCCAAAGGCTGAAATGTATTGAACCAGCCCCCTGTCTCAATACATTTCCAGCTTGGCCGTCTATCCCGGGGAGCCTCGGTGCTCTCCCAACGTCGCAGCCACGTCCAACTCACGATTTCCCCGACGTGTGTTGCCCAAGCAAGCCTGACTGGGTCCTGATGCCGCACGCAGCTAGGAACAAGGATCACAGCCTCCTCCCTAGGAAGTGCTGCATGCAACACGTGGGTCCTCTGGCACATGCTTGACACGCTCGCCCATGGGGAGACGTTCCCAAGCTTCGAGGCTGTCCATGCTCGAGATCGTTCCGACCCAGGCACAGCAGGTCGCCCAGAAGGCATCCTGTTTTTCCCAGGGAAGCCTCAAAGGAGCATGTATATCCGAGATAGGCCAGGTGACAGTGTCGACATGAATGATCGTGAAAGCCTAAACTCAGGGAAGCACTGGAAGAAGCCGAGGTGTGACATTGGTCTGCCAGCCCCATGGTTGTAGTGCTGGTGGGGCATTCCTGCAGCTGCGAGAAGTGGGTCGGCGATGTGTTTCAGGATGCAGCCCGGCAGGGCCCCGTTCTCCTGGTCGTGCCAGACACCACGACGAGAGCAGGCAGATACAGGCAGTGCGACACTCCGTCCGCGCCTGCTGCTCCGTCTTGCAAGGCGCTTCCAGCAGTGATGACTCCATGGCCTGTGACGGGCCATCGCAAAGCCATACTTCTACCCAGTACCTTCAAGACATCGCCTCCGGGTTGAGCGAATCCTGTCGTCATGCGAGATGGCAATCAAACCGCTACAATTCAAACTGAGACAGCAGGCCTGCAGGTTCTGGAGCACATTCGTTGACAGGGGTTCCAAAGCCTGAGGCATCGCAGCAGCACAAGCCAACGACTCAAGACGACCACGAGCTTCGGGTGCCGAAGTCGAGACCAGGCCTTGCCGGCAAGCAGACCCGAGACCTCAAGCAAGGGAACAAGCCAGAAAGGCCCCAGCTCATGGTCACTCTCGCATGGATGAGCCTACGACCTCACAAACATTCACAAGTCACACGAATCAGCACTCGGTCCGAGCATGCAAGCCAGCACAGAACATGGAGACTAGCAGTGCTCCAGTCTCCTTTTTTTTTCTCGCGAACAAACCCCAATCGCGATCCGATGATCTATGTTGCCGCGGCGGCCGACCACGATCACGTGGTTTTGTGGACCTTCGTGTCTGTATCCTGCAGACGACCACCTTGCGGCACCGGATCATCTTGCAACGCCGAACCTGCAGGAGATCGAGGAGCAGCATTTGAAGCACGTGGAGATGGCGTCTTCGGGTCCACTGAGGACTGCTGCTGCACGGCATCGGCACGATCAACAGAAGACCCAGCAGCATGTGATGGCCTGCCGAACATCACACTCCAGAGTTCTGTCAGCGATGCCAGCAACGGGCGCTCCGTCTCCGATGTGTTTTCCTCGAGTGCCTGTGTTCCAGTTCGGCGGCGCCTCTTGAGATCCGGGGCAGGCACATCAGGGCTCCCAGAGTGAGTGCGACGGATGCGTGTCGCCGGAGTGTTCTCCGCCATGGTAGGTGCAAGGCAGTGCAATCCCACTCGTCAGGAGCAAAACGTGCTACGGCAGAACTACCGTGTGCCAGCAACAAAACCTGCCGAGGAAAGCCAGACCCAAGGGCCAGGCCGTCGAAGCCGATGGATCACGAGGATCAGCACATGGGACCTGGGGGTAGGGATGTAGCGTTGGCACAGGAGCCGAAAAGGACTAGAAAGCAGGCTGCTGGGATCCACACCAGCGGCACCCGTGGCAATGGAGTTCCCGAAGCCCCCTGATCAAGCCCAGCAACGACAGAGGCACCCGATGTGGAGCCCGACATCCTCTCCCCTCCCACCTGGCTCTGAGTCTGAACACCAGCATCCAAAGCATCCAAAGGATCAGGAAGTCGAGGCTCTGGGACCTTAGGATGCAACCGAGCCTGCAGTACAAGCAACAACCGCCAAGTAGGAGCAAGGCCGCATCAACCACAGGGTTTGTCGGAGTATCCTCGACCTGACACCCGGAAGCACAGACGAAGCACGAGAGATAGTACGACAGCAACAGCACCCAGAACAAGGGTCGGTGACCCGAGGCAGCAGCAGGTGCATGTTCAGCAGCGACCTAGAGCAGGGTCAGGAGAGAAATGCAGTCGGGACAGGACATCACCCCAAAGCCCAAGACCCAGGCCGCCTTGTCGGGATCAGATGCTGCCAAACCCTGACCAGAGCGATGCTTTGAAGGAAACAAGAAGTGCGCTCGAGGCTTTCTCACAGCACAACTGGCCAAGGCCCTGGCATCCGATGTCGAGGACTTGTCCAGAACCATGGCATCCCCAGCCTGAAGGGCCAGGGCTGGGCGAAGGAATGGAGGCAAGAGGATGTCAAGTCCGAGCTCCAGGCTGAACTCGAAGTAGGATGCACCGAGGCCTGACCAAAGCAAGAATGTGCTGGGGCATCAGAAAGCCAGCGAAGTGCAGCCAACCGCGACGAGGCAACCATGCACCACATTGGCCAAGCATGGCGCCTCCCCGCTCAGTCGCCTCGAAGTAGGCTGTGCCGATGCCTGACCAGAGGATAAAGGAGGGAGTGGGGGGCAGGGCTAGGGGTGGGCGGATCGGGCTGGCTTTAGGTTTGGGGTTCGGGAGTTCGGGCTTTGGGCTTCCGGGCTTTAGGGGATGAAGAGCCCAAACCCCGGAAGGAACCAGCCCAGTAACCCAGTCCCCGAAATCCAAAACACCCCCGTAACCCCCCTCCCCCCCCCCAAGCAAGTGCATGCAGGGCTCGCGATCGGCACTCCTACCGTTGGGCTCAATGGGTTCGGGTGCCCTGGACTCCCTGAAAGACTATGCCTATCATCCGGAACCCGCAACCCCAAAGCCCAAACCCCACCGAAACCACGAACACCCATCGTTTCCGATCCATCCTCGCACGATCGGCTCACGGATTGTGCACACAGAACAGCAAATGCCGCTGTACCCACACCCCGGCCTATGCCTAGGATGTATATCTATACTGCTGCCACCCTATAGCTACAAGCCCGGTGCCTGTGCACAATCCGATCAGAACCTCACCCCTCGGTTTGTGAGACACGCACAAGTCGGCATGTTGCTCTCTGCTGGTGTTGCGCTGTGCTGTGTGTTGCTGTGTTGTGCTGTGTTGTGCTGTGTTGTGCTGTCTGATGCTGTGTGCTGCGCTGTGCCTACACCGGCTGCCCTCAGCTTCACATCGCATTCGAGCCAGCCGGCCCTTGCCTGTTCCAGTGGCTGCTCGACGTGTCCGTGTTGTCGCCGCTGCTCTCGCTGCTCTGGCCAGGGTCATCGTCCTTCTTCTGTCCATCATCCTTCCCGGAGTTATCGTCCTTCTTCTTGTCATCGTCCTTGGGCTGGTCATCGGATGTCCTCGGGCGCCTCTGTACCACTACGCACATCCCGATCGCCTGATAAACACCGCCTTCATCGCAGCCAGGATCCTCCATGTCGGTGATCAGCTCCTGCACCGTCCCAGACAACGGGAAGTCCATGGACATGACCCAGCGATTGCCCACCAGCTGGGCAATGTCCACCGTCTGGTTCGTGTTCCTGAACGGAACATCATTGCGACTAACCCACCGAGGGAGGTCGTCATCGTCCTTCTTCTGGTCATTGTCTTTCTTCTTGTCATCGTCCTTCTTCTTGTCATGGTCCTTCTTGGCATCGCCCACAGCAGCCGGCTTCCGCATCGCCTTCATCGCACTCTTGGCTTTCGCCTTTGGCACAGCCTTCATGGCCCTGGCCTTCGTGGCCTTCGTGGCCTTCGTCGCTTTCATGACCTTCATGGCCTTCGTCTTCGCAGCAGGCTTCTTCTGCGGAGCCATCGTCGCACACACCAACACACAGCCAAGAGATATCCAGAGATCGCCAGCCAAGAGATATCAAGAGATCGCCAGCCAGGAAACTTCAAAAGGCCCGGTATCAAGAGATCGCCAGCCAGAAAACTTCAAAAGGCCCGGTGGAGTTCGAGGATCAAACCATCAAGAAAGCTTATGTAAGCTTGCTACTCTTTACCATGCCTCTATACTCTACTTGAATATTCTCAGACCTCAAAGATCGATAGGCCACGGTTTAGCAGAAGCTTGCAATCTGGCCTCGAAATCAGCAAGGGCTTCTGTGCACTGTTGGGATTCAATCTGATAATCAACATCAAGCAAGCCTACCCCTGTTTGGACCACGTGCCATGCAAGAGTCACTGCCGCACACTCACAACGACCACTGAAGGCAAGCTCAAAACCGCAGGCCGACCCCACAACCAAGCCCAAGACCCATAACCCGGACACCCCCCAGCCTGCACCGCCGAAGCCGCATTCGCAGAAGGATCCGCGACCTGGGAGCAAGGCACGGCACGCCAGCAAAGACCACACCAGCATGTTCCACAATTTGGCTTCGGACTCTAGCTGAGACGACTCCGACCTAAAGGATCGATAAGCCATGTGTTCACTGTTCTGATCATCACAAAGCACGTCCAGCCCCAACTCCGAATACAACCAACCCACGACCCCCGGCTGATGCACACATGCACTGGCTCAAACTTCTCCCGAAAGGGCCTTCTTCGCAGTCACCGCCGCACCGATGGATGTCGTGGATGCTTCCTGTGGCCCGGGATAACATGATGTCGACGCCACTGCTCCTAACAAGCCTGCGGCACAAGCCCGATTCAAAGGAACCCCGCAAAGTCCCGAAACCAACCCACCCAAAACCCCGAACCCAGCAGCCTTGCTGCTCTTGGCCGAGCCATCCGCAGCTGGCTCCTGGAAGCCACAGAGATTTAGGGATCTAGGGTTGGTTCGGGAATGTTAAGCCCCCCACCTCGGAATCCGCGAGAGGGACAGGAGCCGATGCCACAGCCAATGAAGAATCCTGGCACACGATACCCAAAAGAGACGATCGCGATATGAAAAAGAAGGCTCACCTGTAGCTCGGCCGGCACGATCGCACCAGCAGCAGCCTGTGTCGATGAGGGAGCCAGCATCAACTGGAACAAACAAGGTGCACCATGGTGCACCTCAGAGCCCGCACCAGGCTCCAGATCATCAGCCTCGCAAGCAGGCTTGGGAGGGGTGTCGCGGGTTGCAGCCCAACCGTGCCCGCCTTTGCAAAGCCGAAGTCGAAAACACCGCGGGATGCTCGCTCACGAAGATCTTCCGGGACCTCAAATTTCGACCGATTGGGACACCATCGTCAGGCCGAAGCCAAGTGCCCGGCTGCCGGATGCTTCATCTCTGCTGCCCAAGCATTAGCCTGGCCAGGAATACACAGGCCGAATCCCAGGAGCAACTTCGATGCCAGCGGGCCTTCTTCTGGGAATCGTAGAGCACACTGCGCTTGCCGGCGGAGTCGACGTACTGGAATTTAACTCAGTCGGAAGCACATGGAATGATAGATGGAATGGAAGAGAAGCCGAAGCACTGGACCAAAAATACTGAGTCGAGAACAGACTCGACGAGTCCCGTCATAGCTCCGGAAGCTACATTCCCACCCCATCTTACAATCAAAGTTGGAAGCCTACAAAAAAAATACAGCCCCTGCCGACATAGTGGCTTGCTTACCCTGCCCCCGTGCCGTCCTAGTGGCTTCAGTTTTTACCTAGAAATACCTAGAATTCCCGTGCCGTCCTAGTGGCTT